TTTATTTATTTATTTATTTCAATTTGCCAGATGGGATGTGTAGTTGCCAGAGAGACACAGAGAGGGAGAAGTTACCTCCTCCCCTCCAGCCAACCACCACTAAGGGAGTGTGGCCTCGCCAGCCTCTTCTCTTCCTTTTCTCCGTCTGTTGATGGGTGTTGGGCACACAAACACATGTACCTGGTGTATTTTTCAAGCTGCTGAGGCTGGGATTCAAACCATGCAGTTGGCCATGTGGGATCTGACTCCCTTAATCACCAGGCAACAGGGCTGGCCCCTTGGATGACTTTTCTACTGGAGAAAGCTTCTTTGTATTTCTACTTTGCTGAGAGGTTTTATTTTTTTTTTAATTTTTTAAATTGGAGATTCATGTTGGCTTTTGACAATTGACTTTCCTGTGTCTATTGATATAATCGTATGGTTTTTCTTTTCTAAGTTGTTAATAAATAGAGTTACATTTTTTTAAGTGTTAAATTAACCAAGCAATTCTGGGATCATATATTATCTTTTGGTGATGATATATTATCTTTTATACATATTGTTTGATTAGTTTTAAGGTATTTTGTTAAGAATTTTAAACTCTAAGTTCATGAGGAACATTCATATGTAGCTTTCTTGAAATGTCATTACATGGTTTTGATATCAAGGTAATCCAGTCTTACAGACACAGTGGGAAAGCATTTCCTCCTCTTTGATTTTCTGGCAAGTTTCTTTAAATGTTTGGTAGAATTTTCCAATAAAACCATCTTTTTCTTTGTGGGAAGATTTTGAATCTACGTAACACATTTTTAAATTGATATAGGACAGTTCAGGTTATCTATTTCTTAAAAATTACTTTGCCATGGAGCACATGACAGTGGAGAGATGAGCACCCTCCGTGGGGTCTGACCACACCACAATCCCCTTCCTCCAGTCCTCCAAGGCTTGGAATCTCAGGCATTTGTCCACACGGCAGGCGTGTTTCAGGCTGACCGGGCTAGATTTGAGCTGTGGTCACCGTCTGCAATCTGGATCCTCTTGAGTAGCATGTCACCACCATGCTCAGGTTATCTATTTCTTCTTTATTTTTAAGTCCATTTCTTCTGAAGTGATCTTTGCTTTGCAGTCCTTCAAGGTATATGTCTATTCCAATCAAGTTGCTAAATTTACAGGCATAAAGTTGTTCCTAATAGTCTCTTATCTTTTTTTTTTTTTTTTGAGAGATTTTCACTGTAGGGCGCGTGCGCTCGCCAGACAGACAGAGAGAGACATAGAGACAGAAAGCGAGAAATCACCCCCCAGGGGGGATGGTCACGCCGCAATCCCTTCTCCTCCATTCTCCTCTCGGGATCTTGGGCACGCACGCACACGCGCCTGGCGTGAGTTTTAAGCCACCGGGTCCGGGACACGAACCGTGGTCGACTACGCGGGAGTCCAGCGACATAGCCATTACGCTAACTGCTGGTTCCCTCTTATCTTTTTGATATAAGTAGACTCTCTAGTTATGTCACCTCTCTCAGATGTAATAATGCAAAAAATTTGAGCCTTTCCTCTTGTTTTCTCCTGACAGTTTGGTTAGAAGTTTATTAATTTTATCAAAAAGCCAGTTATAGGTTTATTTTGTTCCTATTTCACTGATATCTTCTCTGATCTTCATTATTTCCTTTCTTCTGCTTAGTTTTTAAATCTCATTTGCTCCTTTATTCTTTATTTCTTAAAGTGGAAGCTTAAATAATTTACTTGAGTTCTTTCTTTTTTTCTAATATTTAGTGCCATAAAATCCTTCATAAGTACTGTTTTAGTGGCATCCCCAATTTTTTTATACATCCTGTTTTTATTTTCATTCAATTAAAAATGTTCACTAATTTCCACATTGATTTCTTTTATAACCCATGGGTATTTAGAAGTGTTATCAAATTGCCATATTTGGGGATCTTTCCAGAGATCTTTTTGTTATTGATTTCTAATTTCATTCCATTGTGGTCTGAGCATACTTGTTGTATAACTTCATTCTTTTCACATTTATTGAGTGTTTTAATGGACTATCTTGGTAGATGTTCTGTGTGCCCTTGAAAAGAATGTGTCTTCTGCTGATATTTGGTGGAGTTGCCTATAAATGTCAACCAGGCCTAATTGGTTGATAATGTTGTTTATGTCTTCTGTATCTTTATAAATTTTCTGTGTACTTTGTTAATTGGTGAGAAGAGCATTGAAATAGCTAACTGAAATTGTGAATTTGTCTATTTCTTCTTGCAATTCTGTAAGTTTTTGTTTCCTATGTATTTAGAAGTTCTACTACTAAGTACAAAAAGATTTAGAATAATTTTCTCTTAAAGAATTAACACTTTCATAATTATAAAATGACCTTCTTTATCCTTGGCATTATTCTTTGAAATCTACTTTTTCTGATATTACTGTGGCCACTCAAGCTTTCTTTTAATTAGTGTTAACATGAGATAATTTTTAATCTTATTACTTTTAACTTATTTGTGTTTTTATATTAAACTGTGCTTATTATATATAGTTGGGTCTTGCTTATTGATAAAATAAGCAAGTGTGATAATCTGCCTTTTTTTTTTTTTTTTAGTAGAAGCCATTATACTATCAATCTTTAGATTTAATGTGATTATTGCTGTGGTTAGGTTTAAGTCTCTCAACTTACTTCCCTTCTATTTATCCCATCTGTTTTTTGTTTCCCCTTTCTTCTTTTTCTTTTTCTTAAAATAATGATTCTTTTCTGTTTCTTTTCTTTTCTTTTTTTTTTTTTTTAAGGTTATTTACTTCTTTCATGCACTAGGGAGACAGAGAGTGACAAAGAGGGAGAGAGAGATAGCACCCCCAACAGGGTCTTGATACTGTGATACACCCCAGCTCTAGCCAGCGCTGGACCATGGGCATGTGAGTACCTGGCCTACTCAGGGAGGCCTCTGGGTGTGAACCTGGAATGCCCGTATGTGGGCAACCTCTTAGAGCATCATGTTTTACCACCACGTCACTGCCAATTCTAGCATCTGTGTCAGTTCTGGTTTGCTTTTCAGAGACTGATTTTTCTCTTCATTATGAATATGCATATAGACTTCAGATTTTTTTTTTTGTCACAGAACACCAAATTGTTCTCCAAAAATGTTTTATCATTTATCCTATCACTGCTAGTACATGACAGTATCTGTTTCCTTCCCTGTACTGCCAGCACTGAATTTTGTCGAGCTTTAATCTTTGCCAATCTCATAGGCAAAAAAAATATTTACTTCTACAGCAGATCTTTATTGAGCACCAACTATAAGCCCAGTGACAGATGGTGGTAATTCTGTGGTGTTCAGCAGCAGTAGCTGTTTTCATGGTGTTTATAACTTCGTGATACTTTAACGTGTTTTTACTTGCATTTTAATTGATTATTAGTGATTTTGAACATCTTTCCCCAAGCTTATTGGCCATTTATATTTCTCCTTCGGTATATTGTCTCCTAATATCCACTGACTAGATTTACTTAGATTGTTTGGAATTTTCTTTATTGTTTTGTAAGAGTTTTTAAAATTTACTATGGATAGATACCCACTTCTACTTTTTGAATAACAAAAAAAAAATGTTTTGTAAACCAATTTTTCTTTAAATTAAACTAACACATGATTTCTTCGGAGAAATGATTTATGTTACTCAAACATTTTTTTTCTACACTAAAACTAAAAAGGAATTGACTCTGGTATGAAAATAATATTCTTATAGGAAAAAATTTTAATAACACCAAGATATATACATGAATATATAAGACACACATAAATACCTAAGCAAATAATTTTATACATATTTGACATCAACATATACATGACATATTCTTTAGAAATAACCATGCAGATTGTAAATGCCATTTTAACTGTCTTAACAATGAAATGGAAAATCAGGGAGATGAAACATTCCCAGATTATCTATTTCCAGCTGATTAAATATATCTGGCAACGTCATGCCATCTGTATTGGAAATGCCCTATATACAAGATTGTTAATCTGTAATCATCTAAGATCTATTTTGAAAAGAAAAAAAAAGGTCCAAAATCCTCATTGAATATTTGCTTACACACTGAAAAGTATGGCAAGCTTTCAAAAGCAGGAGCTACCTATATATTTGGCTGTGCAAGTAAATGCTGAAAACCCTAGGAAGGATGCTCTGATCAAGGCACAGGCTCTCTAAAGTGCGATGTCTTTTTATTATTCATGAACAAGGTGAGGTGGGTGCAGGGAGGAGACTAAGACATGCTTGACTCCGTGGCCAGCAGTATGACTTATACACCTGTCACATGACTAACAGGCCTCAGTCCTTAGAACACAACGGAGAAAGTGTATGCAAGTAATTAAGCTATGGATGGATACACCGAGCAGTTTTAATAATGATGACAACAGCAGTTGGCAACCCTCCTCCCCCGCACCGAGGCCCAACCCACCAACCCATGACTTGGTGGCCTCCAACCTACCTGTCTGGTGTAGGTGGTCTCTGGCTACCTCAAACAGGCGCAGGTGCATGTTGGTGATAGGGTTGAAGGAGCCACAGGCCAGGAGCACCACAGGAATTCGGCTCTTCATCTTGTCAGGGACATCCGCACTCACTGCAACGGCCACCCTGCCTTTATAAGGAAAAAATCCATTTCAAGGAGTTGGCACTGAGACAACTGTCCAGATAAGGGTCTCCAAACCATACACGGACCATTACCTATCACTTGTGAAATGGCTGAGGAGGTAATGATAAAATTGATGGAGGGCTCGCCAAGGGCCAGGAACTACGCTAAAGTATGCACCTCCTCTTGCCAAACCCTTTCAACAGCCGCGAGTGGGTGGTTTCTTACACAGTTCAAGGACCTTAGAAGATATTGGACCAGGACTAGAACCCAGAAGGCCTGACCCCAGAGCCCATGTCCTGCTCTTAACCTCTATACCATTCCTGATGGGTCATCTTGGTGTCAAAAGGAGGTTCAAACTTTTCTTTTCTCTTCTCTTCTCTTCTCTTCTCTTCTCTTCTCTTCTCTTCTCTTCTCTTCTCTTTCCTTCTCTTCTCTTCTCTTCTCTTCTCTTCTCTTCTCTTCTCTTCTCTTCTCTTCTCTTCTCTTCTCTTCTCTTCTCTTCTCTTCTCTTCTCTTCTCTTCTCTTCTCTTCTCTTCTCTTCTTTCTTTCTTTCTTTCTTTCTTTCTTTCTTTCTTTCTTTCTTTCTTTCTTTCTTTCTTTCTTTCTTTCTTTCTTTCTTTCTTTCTTTTCATGTCATATTTAATCATCCAAATAAAACTCACAAGGCCCCAGAGTAAACTATCACTCGCTTTGTGATTGCCAGAGCACGTGTGTACTTGCCAGAAAGAGAAGGAGAGAGAGAGGAAGACAAAGAGAGAGCAAGCATCTCCCACCAGGGCTTGATCACACCACATCCTCCTATGTCTCTACCTCACCAGCATCTGCGGTATACAAGCACATGTGTCCAGTGTGTTTCCTAAGCCTCTGGAATGAGTCTCTGAACCATGGTCAGTCATGTGAGATCTGGCTCCCTTCGCACAGTGCTTGACTGCTCAGCCATGGGGCTGGCCCCAGACCAGCACTTAAAAATCTGAAATAATTTCAAATACAAGAAAGGTGCAAGATCTGTACAAAGAATTCCTACACACTCTACTCAGGTTCCCTGAATGTTAACAATGTTAGCGTTTTACACAGTTTGCTTCATCAGTCTCTTTCTTCATAATGTGCACACACACACACACACACACACACACACACAGAGGCATACATTTATCTGTATATACTTATAAGTAATTTTTTAATGAAATGTTTGAGAGTAAAACAATACCTCTTATAAATATTTATAAATGCTCCAGGATATATTTTCTAAGAACCAAGGCATTTTCTTACAAAACTGAACAATGATTAAAATCGGAAAATCAACACTGTTACAGGGCTAACAATCTAATCTCCAGACCCTGTTCTAATGCACCTGTTGTCCTTTATGTAGGGGCCCAAGCATTTGAAAAGGGGCTCAGCCCACCCTCTAGACTTCCCACTCTGTGACTTTCAGCACCAGAGAGAGGTTAAAGGAAAGAAGGAAACAGCTGGTCCGGAGCAGGCTGGCAGATACAGCTCTCCTGCCTCTGAGAGCACCTTGTGGAAGTGGTGATGAAGAGCTCCACTGGATACAGGCTTCAGCTTGATGCCTATTCTGCCTTATTCTGGTGTGAGGGCCTTATTCAGGCCCTCTCTGAGCCTTAGTCTCCTCATCTGCAAGATGAGGAGAGTATTTCTTACTCCCCTCAGGTTACAGTGAGGATAGATGAATTGCTCACGCAACTGTGTGGTGCATAAGGAGTGTTTAATAAATAATCACTGTAGCTGTGGCAATGACGACAGTGACAAAAAACGATACCAGGGCAGCTGACCATGACAAGGGAGGAGAAAGGAGACGGCAGTGTGCTGTGGTAGGTGGCTGTTAAGAGATTCCAATAATCCTCACCTCCTAGTATGCACTCGTAATGCCCTCCCCTTGAGTGTGGGCTGGAGCTAGTGTCTTGCTTCTAGTCCGTAGGATACTGCACGAGCAGCGGCATGCTACTTCCGAGAGAAGGTTATGAAAGGACCCTGGCTTCCCTCTTGCTCACCTATTTTGCCTTCTAGCTCACTCACGCTGATGAAGCCAGTTACCATGTTCTGAGCTGCCTCATAGATTGGCCCATGCGGCAATGAGCTGAGGGAGACCGCTGATAGCCAACAGCCAGTGAGGACATGAAGCCACTCAGCCCAACATCCCCTGAGGGAATGGACCTGCCAACAACTACGTGCATGAGTGTGGAAGTGGATCTTTCTTCAGGCAAGCTTTCAGATGAAACTGCAGCCCTGTGAATACCTTCTTCCCAGGTTGATAAGATACTCAGAGCCAGAAGATGCAGTTAAACTATATCTGGATTCCCCACCTACCGAAACTGTGAGATAATGAACTATGAAATAATAAATAAAAGTAAGCAAATACATGTGCTGTTTTAAGCTGCTATTGACACACTTGGGGATAATTTATTGTGCCGCTGTAGGTAACTGATATAGTGACCTATATCAGCAGGAGGAACACATTCACTTCCTTTCTTCCTCTTGCTGTGGGGGTAACATGGAGAGTTCTCAACACTGGGACATCGGTCCTCCTTTCATGGGAAAATGTTTCAGCCTGGCCTCTGCTGTTTGCTCCTCCGGGTTGCATCCAACCACCGCCTGCCTCCTACTTTCCACTCTAGCAACAATAAGTTACTTGTCAGTGGTTCCTGTGTGAGCTCTTCATGGCTTCCTGCTTCAGACTTCTGCACATGTTATTCCACGAACACCCCGGAAGACTGCATTATTTATGTCTTCCATCACTTTTTATTGACCAACAGTTAGGTGCCTGTATCAGTTAGAGATGCATTTGGCTGTGAGCCCTGGAAGCCCAACCTCAATGACGTAACAAGTAGAGGCTCATTTATTTCTCACACGACAAGATGTCTAGAATGAGGCAGCAGATAGCATTAGGCCATGGGCTTAACAGTGACCTGCAATTCTCTCTGCTCTTCCTTCATGGTTACAAGATTGCTTCCACAGATACAGCCACCCTGAGCTCACTAAGGCAAGGGGACTTGGGAGCTGTGCTAGACTTGCTGTCTCTCATGGTCCAGAATACAACAGCTTTTCTGGGGGCCTCCCCCCACTCCCCTGTAGATTTTACTTTTGTCTCATTGGCCAGAACTAGGTCACATGGCCACTCTAGCTACAAGGGAGGTTCCAATAGCATGTGTTTAGCTTTGAAACCTCTTCAGTGGGAAGCAGCCAGATAAAGGAGGTTGGTCATTGGGTTAGCTTGCCCGCAGTGACTACCACAGAGTTGGGGATAAAGTTGTCTGGGAGCTGGGAGGGTAAAAGCTTGTCAAGATGGCTTCTCTACACCTTGCTTGGGTTAGCTGATCTCTGAGTTACCTTTAGGAAATTATGTACCACATTCTATTGAACAAAACCTGCTCACGTGTCTTTTCTAGCCATTGGACAGAAAATCCCTACATGGAGGAGGAGTGGCATCTTCTTCTCTGGGTCTCAGGTCCAAACACAGCGCTCAGAGTAGGGCTCAGTGAATACTGAAACAGGGTACCCGCCAGCTGGAGGGTAGGCCTGCCTGCTTGTAGTTAGGTCTAATACACCTTCTAATATACGCAGAGGAGCTACTGTGGATGCATTCTGAGCTACAGGGGGAATATGAAAAGCTCTCTGCCCGGGGAGGGGGGCTGTGCTTTCTTGAAGCTTCCCTTGAGTAGCAGGAACATCCCCTACTGTGTGACAAGAAAGCAGTCTACCAGCTGCTGCTAGCTTCTTCCCAGGGAGGTTGGGTGGTTTAATGAGATATTTGCAAAGTGTGCCAAGCTATTCACAAGAGCAGTCTTGTGATGAGTGTATTTTAAGAGGGTGGCTGTTTTTCACAACTATTATAAAGCCTTTCAGAATTCTATTTCATTTTGACAAAATATAAATCTTTAGGGCCATTAAAACATGTAACTGCAGCATCTCAGGTAACCTGGGGTTTTGATCTGTTTTTCCAAAAGTTCCTAGAAACTGTAGATTAGAACGTTTATTGGAGCGGTGGCATCAATGAGAATGAAGGGTGATGCTGGGAAAGAGGACAAATGCCCTTTACTAGATGCCTCTATTTCTTATCTTTCCTTGTCGGGGCTCTCGGAGCCACCCTGCTGTCTGACCCACATCTCCGGCTGGAGGGCACAGGGGGAGTGCATTCCCAGGAGCAGTAATGAGGGTAGTGCGCCCACACCATTTGTATTCTCCAACTCTCTTCACTTCAACGCCCTCGTAGGCCACCCCAGAGCAATACAATGATAGGGTTGAAATGGACTCACTACAGGGGTCTACCTGGATAGTAAACCTGGCTCTGATTTGAGTGCAAACCTCATCAGACACAAGGCAAGGTGCACGCCATACAAGTGACCCATCTGCCCTTACCATCTAATAATACCAGGGGAGATGAGGCAGGTGGGAGACTGGCTATTGGGAAAGGCTTTTCATCAAAGGACTTTTAGTACAGGCCCACAGAGTGAGCAATAATTGCTGCTGAAGGGCTTAACAAGCTGAGAAGCCAATGTATACCCTTCTTGGAATTTATCATTAAACCAGAGACAAGGCAGATAGATTCTACTTCTGGCTCCCACCCCGTCTCCTGCTTACTGCCTCCTACCTCTGTCACCCAGACTACATTCCACTTGCTCCTCAAATACAACAAGCCACCTCTGCAAGTGTGCTATGACCACCGGAAACAGCCCCCTGCCGTTCTGGCGAGCAGCCTTCCAAGTTTCCTGCTTAGACTCATTGGCCATGTTCTCCCTGTCACACATGCTCTACCTGTTACACATTATCGCTCCTTTTAGCAGCCACAGAACTGTCGCTGCTTTTTCTTTTGTTCTGTGTCCCTCTTCCCTGAGTAGAAGGCAAACTCCTAGAGGGTGACTTATTCATTTCGGTCCCTCAATGCCTGCCACTGTGCCTAGCACATAATAAGTGTTCAGAAAATGTGTGGGAAAGAGAATAAGAGAATGAGAGAATGAGTGATTGGCCCTGACCAAGTTGTCACATGGCTGCCTTCTCTTTGGTCCGTCCCAAACGGTCAACAGACTAAGCTTTTTGGAGATACAAACTGATTTTCCCAGCTTCCCATGGGCACTTGAGGTCCCCAACACCCCTGCTGCCACCACCACCCTGCAAAATCCCACTTCACCCGACTCAGACTGAAATCAGACAAGATCTCTCTGCCCTATTGGGAGAGGCCATCAACAGGGATATACTGGCCTCCTGCACGGTGACACTGTGGTCATCCTGGCTCTCAGAACTGGAGGTTGGTGACTGCTGTCTTGCCAGGACAGAGTCTATCTAGCCAACCTCCTCCAGATTCTGCTTCCCAGGGGTAGCCCTGTCCCTTTGAAGATGTGTCATTGCATGTTTTCAGAGACATCTAGTTTCTCCACAATCGCTAGGTTTCTGGACTGCCCTCTCTTTCTGGCACTGCCCTCTGTTTCTTCTACCCATGAGACAACTGCTTATTAAGCATCTACCACTGGCCAGATCCTCTGCCAGGCACTGGGGTCCAAGGGAAGGCACAGAAAAGGTGTCCCTAGTTTTCACGGAGCTTCCAGTCATCTACGGGAAGGGCAATTCAACACACAGTAACCACCAAGGCAAGGGCTCCCAGCCTCCACGCCTCACTGAGAGAGGCTGAATAGCGGCCCCCAAGACGTCTGTCCTGACCTCTCACTTGTGCATATGCTATGTTACAGAGTCCCTAGGGTAAAAGGGACTTTTCAGAGGAGATGTAATTAAGGATCTTGAAATGGGGATTGTCAGGTTTTTATCATGAGGGTTCTTAAAGAAGGAGACGGAAGGGTGAAATAGAGAAAGAAGACGTATGGATGAAGCAGGAGTCAGAGAGCCAGTGCTAGGGGGAGACTGTGAACCAAGCAATGCAAGTGGCCTCTGGATGTTGGAAACAGCAAGGGCAAGGACCGTCCCAGGGGCTCCAGAAGGAACAGGTGCGGGCCTGCCCACACCTTCATTTCAAACCTCTGACCTCCACAACTATAAGCGAATGAGTGTGTGTTGTTTTAAGTCACTGTTCGTGGTGACTTGTTACAGCAGCTGTGGGAACTGAGACACTCCTCAGCTTGGGGGCAGACTGTCAGAAGTGGCCTTTGAGCTGGGAAGGGAGGGAGTAGGAAATGGGCTGGTGAGGAGTGTGAGGACAGCTGTGTCCGGCACAGGGACTAGGACTGTACAAGCCTAGAAACGACCACCACCACAAGGCAGCCGAAGGTGGGAAACGGGAGCAAAAGATGTCAGTGTGGCTCATGCGTGGGCATGAGCTGATGTGGGAGCGGCTGGAGACGGCGCTGCGGAGGGTGGAAGGATCATGCAGGTGCCAAGGGCCTGCCGAGTTTAGATTTTATCCTGGATACTGAACAGGGAGGTGATGTACTCAGATTTCTGTCCAGAAAGAGCACTCAAGTGTCCCAGAACGGGCATCAGGGAGCCTCAGGGCAGCCACGGCTACCTTTGGGCTCTGCCTGGCTAAGGTTGGGTGGCCCCAGCTTCCTGGAGGATGACCTTTCTGCCGCTCACATCTCACCTCGCAGCAGGTGGAGGGAGGCTGGCAGATGCCCCACATGTATTTAATCCTAACTACTTCTGCCCCTCGGCCCATTTGTCACAGGCCATCGCAGGCACACGGAAAGGAAGGCGAGCCGGGAAGGTTAAGAGCCGTCATTGCAGATGTAATGTGCTAACGCTCGGTGCTTGGGAGGCAGTCAATTTACCTTTCCCTGCGGTGAGCGCCTGGAACGGGCCCAGGCCGGGGAAAGTGGCTGAAAACATCCCTGTTTATTATAGACATAAAGCAGATGGCTTCAGGCAGAATGGAAATGGTTTCTACAAACATCTTTCATTACACAGACCTCTTGACCGGACTCCTCATCTTAAAGAAAACAAGAGCCACGGTTTGTATTTGTGGGGTTGACGACCACATATTTCAGGACCCGGGGAAATCATTTCCATCCGTGCGGTCTGTTGACTTCTCTGGGGTGATCAACCTTCAGAGGAACTCCGGGACTTTTTCTTTTCAGCTTTGTTGGGTTTGCCCGCTGTTGCTATGGGCACGCAGTGCTGGTAAGAACAAAAGTAAAGCGAGCTTTCATTGTGGGTATGAGGATCCTCGCCAGTCACCCCTTGGAGGAAACAAACATGCCAATTATGCACTCCTCCTAATTAGGAGACTCTCAAGAAGACTGCTCTCCAGTTTCGAGAACTTTCAAAAGATATAAAGGAGGTCTCTTGCAATCCCACCCTCGTGAGTTTGGCGTTGAGTTAAAGTGCAATAGGCGGAGTTGATAACGGCTACTGGGTTTGGGTGCAGGGCTGAGCACCGTGCTGAAAACTTCACACGCGGCAATGCTGATGCGCTC